TGTTCCCCCTCTCCCCTTGTTTCGAAGGCAGGTTTGCTCACAGGGTGGTAGCCATTGCAAACAACAGCACAAGAACATGCAATCAGAGGGGTTGAGGCTTTTTGTGGAAAACAAGAGCAAAATAAATATGACTTTGTGTCTGATTTCCTTTTAAAAATTACGGTTTTATAAAGATGTCCTCTTTTTTTTTTTCTTTCTTCTTTTTTTCCCCATCCCAACTGAAGTCCACGATAGAAATCCAGCATGTCTGGCTTCCAGTGAGCCGGTTCCATCCTGGGAGGCTGCTTAGATCTCTTTACAATATTCACAGTAATGACAAAGAGAGAAAGGAAAGCCAGTTCCAAGCCTTTTCCTTCAGCTTCTGCCACCTTTTGCTTCCTGCTGGACCATGAAGTATTGAACAGGTGAGTTATTTTTCCTTATACCTGAGGGGGCAAAGTGCATTACAGGCACCACTACGTTTCTGCAGAAGACCCATCACTTGCAAGGTTTTAGTCCAGCATTAAGAGTTAAACCACATGGGAGCAAAGATCCCCTTTGTCATCCCTACATTCTCCTCTTGGCAGAACATTTTCTTACTTGGTGTCGTCTTAGGCAAAGCCCCATGTTCTTTAATCTCTGGGTGGGTCTCTTGGTCATCGGGTTTTATCCCATGGCTGTAACCATGCTGGATGGGTGTGGATGTCCAAATGAGATGCTGGAAGATGGGTGGATGGGGGTAGGTGTTGGAAGGATGTGTCCAGAGTGGCTGAAAGGTGGCAAATGCCCCATGGGAGCCATGTGACTAGCAAGGGCAGCAGCGCTGAAGGGAGAGGATTTCTCCTGCATGCACTTGGACAGTTCCTCAAAACACTCGGAGCCTTTCTTGCTTTTCTTTGATTTGTTGGACATTTTCCTATTCCTGGTCTGAATTCCTTCCTTCTTCATGGTCAGAGGCCTGTTCACCTGCAAGAAATGAGAAAATCAGGCTCATGCTGACAAAATGACCTTACTGTGCAAAAATGAAAACATTTGGACAGCCCCCGTGTGTTTTTCCTGGATGGAGACCTTTTTCTGGCCAAAACAAAAAAAGGTGTTTCTTTCTGCAGAACTTGTTTATATGGATTTGTTTGAGTTGTTTAATAAAACCACACACACAAAAACCCCCTAGACATGAAAAACAAATGGAAGCGCATTTGGCAGCCGACGGCTTTTTCCCGTAGGCTTACCCTCGGTCCTCATTCGTTTCCTAATAGAAGAGATCAAACTTGGAGGCACACATTGACTCAAATTCAGTCCTAAAACATGAGCAATCTTGTACCACTAACCTCTATTACAGTTTAAATAATGCTCCAACATGTCAAGTGATTCCTGCTTAGGATTAATTTCTTTAATCGTATACATATTAAAACAAAGTCCTAGATTTAATTATTTAAAGAAAAAAAAACACAAGGAAGATGTCCCATCAGAATTAATTTTTCCTCAGAGCCCATTCCAAGTGACCTCTGCGTTTCTGGAGGGAAGCAGCACACAAACCACGCTTAGTTAAAACCAAGTGTGGTAGCTCTGTTTTGCCCAAGCGTTAGAAGCCAAGCTAATACATTGTAATGTCACTGAACTTAGCATCACTGTGCTGACAAAGAACGGCTGTCACTTCCCAGGGGAACCTTAGAGACGGGGGAAGGAATAAAACAACAACGCAAACCCTGAAACCAATAAAAGCCTGGTGTACACCATGCAGTTGAGACATCAATCCTGGCTGGGCAAGCAGCAACACATGAGATGAGTAAATACTCACATTGTGCAATTTATAGTAGAGTCCACAGGCATTACAAACTGGGTCCCCGTTTGCGTTACGTCGCCATAAGGTTGTGGTGGTTGTCTGACAGTTGGCACAACAAGTCCCTGCTCTCCTGGCCGCTGACTAACAGAAAGAAAAAGAACATTAAAATGTGTTGGCAGGAGGAGGGAGATCCTCACACATCAGAAAGGTCAGGTTGGACTAAATGTTTGGGTTGGGCAGAACGAGTTCCTATGATTTTACACGGCATCAGGGCTGAAGGAGAGCTCCTTCAGTTTTACATTTAGGGTTTTGTTTAAATCCAGGTAGTCTTGGATGCAGACGGCAGCCTCCAGCCCCATGGCACCGTGCATGCAGGGGAAGTAAGGAGAGAAACAATGCATCTCTAACTGCACAAAAATTGTAGAAGGGCAACATCACCTGATGTGTCCAGGTTTTCCCTTTGCAGGATTCTAGATTTTGTCCTGAAAACATATTTGTCTTTTCTTTTTAAACGACCAATTCAGTTTGTGCCAGCATTGGGGCCGGGTTTGAAAAGAGGGGAATGATCTTAAAGAATGTGATTTTTACCCCTGCTCTGTCCCTTTAAAGATGGACACAAAAGAAAACCAACCGCATTGCTTAACTGGGTGCAGTATTTATCAGAGCCATCACTGAAAATTCAGTTTCCATTTACAAGTGAAAGGGGGAAAACAAAACCGGCTCCAACTTTCTTTAAATATTTAGCAAACCAAATTTCATGCCTCGAAGCAATGATTGCGCTGACCCGGCTGCCACCCCTGTCCCTACTCAGTGCCTTGCCTGACAGGCCCTCAAACAACTATCTTCAAGGGGAGAAAAATAGAGCAAAACTCTGCCACCCTTTCCTAAAAGTATTGTTCTGCTGAAACCAAGGTGGGGGGGGGAGAGAAATGCTCAAACATTTCCCCCACCTCCCCAGACAAGAACAGGAAAAGTCAAACAGCAGGCAGCAGTAATCCCTGGATGGGCCCTTGTCTGCCAGACCCCGCAATAATGCGCTCTTTGTGCGTGCACGGCATCGATGGAGCGTTTCGGACGGGCTAATTGCACCCCATGTTTTGGGAATTAGCTTCGTATTAGGAAGCTTTGGCCCTGCCTCTGGGAGCACTAAAACTCAGGCAAGTTTTGTGCAATGCTGAGGACCCAGTGTGTGTTTAACGCAGCAGAGCCCGCTTTCTAACATGGATCAATCCTGGTGGTTTCCCCGGGGCTCTGCTCCCTGGATGTTTTTGCCTTTAGGCACCAGGAGCCATGGGGTGAAGCAGCAGCGTTACAGGGCCAGGAGCAGACCTGGAGTGATGGGTTTCCCACACAAGGACTGTGTGCGCTTCCCTGCTGCCGGCATCGTGCAAAGGCCAGACTGACCGGGCTCCTGTAAGAGGAGCACCGGGTTCTGTTCTCACTTGTTCCTGATTTACTCCAATGCCCTCTGTAAATTCCTCAATGCTAGTGGATGGCTCAGTAGCTTAAGGCAAGAATCAGGCCCTTGGAGACTCATGTACTTGAGTCCTTTACTTGCCCATGAGAACAGGCCAAAGGCAGAAAGAGGGGGTACCCCCCACTGCCACTGCACTCAGGCAACCCAAACACAATTAATGCCAGACGTCCAAACCCTGACATTATGAACATGATCTCTTTGCCATTGCACGTCAGATGAACAAATCCCCAAAGATGGCCATCCCCTCTCCCCCGCAAACAAGCAAACTCCAGCGGAAAAAGGGGCAATAAACAAAGCTGTAAATCAATTACAACAAAACAGAACATTAAAACAAACTATGCTGAGAGAAAACCTCCCGAGTGCCCCCCAAACCCTGGGCACTGAGCTGAGCGTAAGCCTCCAACATATTGGAAGGTGGAAACCTGTGTTTGCATATTTGAGATGGCTTCACTGATACTCAACTGTGCTGCTTAACTCTATGGCCTGTCCCATTCAGGCTGGAAAGCACTTGAGCCTGGGAGACGATAATGTTACACTGTTGTCTTAACATTTTTCTATGTGTCAGTCACTTTAGAAGCCAGTCATTAAGGAGCTTGCATAGTTGAAATTCTGACTCACAACAGAAATCTTCAGTATCCCGTCCCAGTGTTAGAGCAGCAATGCCAATTTTCTGCTCTCCAAACCTCATTGAAACATGCCCACGAATAGCTGAGAGACTTGGGCACCATAAATCACAAAGCTCCAACAAATATATTTATTATTCTTAGCATTTTAAGCATTATTTGTGGAGTGGAGTGTATTAGAAATTTCAAAACAGCAAGCATGACTGGCAAGGCTCGCCTATAGAAACTCTCTAAAGCTTTTAGAGTCAGGAAACAGATACACAAAGTTTCCTTATCTTTACCGTGCAGATATCCGGATAGGAAACTACTACCAGGAGCTTAGAAAGGACTTTTTTTTTTTTAAATCGCTCAAATGAAAATACAAAGTGTAGGTGACTCCATGGAAAAATAATGGGATTTTTTCTTAAACAGTAGGGGATTGTCTGGGGAGGGAACTAATATTAATATTGCCAGAGAATATAAGAGTGAAAATTACTTCATGGCCTTTATACAAATAATTATTAAGTAGGAGCAGTAGCTTTGACTCATCTGATTTGTTTTGCTTTTTTGGAGCTGGAACCCTTTTTGTTTAGTAGCCGGTGGAGGACATTGCGCTGATAACCCTTTCGCTCCCGGTGCGTGCTCAAAGCTCCCAGGAGGCCAAATAAATGAGGAATTAAATTAAAAGCTGTCATCCCAGGATGACCGGGGAGCCGGATACACGATACCCCCTGTGGATTGGGAGCGGCGGGGAGGCTGCGGGGGGCTGCCGGGGCAGCGCTGGCCCCAGGCTCATTGTGACCCCGGCGTGCCGGACCCCATGTACTGGACCCCCTGTACCACAGGGCTCGGCTCCGGGCAGGGGCTGAGCAGAGCTGAGACATGTTTGAGTTTGAATTGTGCCTGTGTGTGTGGTCCCCTTGCCTAATTGATCCCCAAACCCAGGAGAAACAGAGCCACCTACCAGCCTTCGCTTGGGTTTAATGAGAGGTCGGTTTTGACCGTTCATTTTGTGGTAGAGCCCGCAGGCGTTACACAGGTAATGCCCGGTGCCGTCTCTTCTCCAGAGAGGGGTAGCAGTTGCTCCACAGTTCACACACTCTCTGCCTTCTAAATGGAAACACGAAGAAACCGGATTTCTTTCTTTAAAAACAAATTCACAAAAGCTTTCTGCATTGTCCTGTAGGCATTTCCCAGGAGTCAAACAGCGTGTTAGTTCAAGCACAATCAGACAGCAGTGACATCTACAGCACATGCAGCAAGGAGCTCAGCTCCGAGAACACCCAGACTCCAGCATGGATTTTATGTCACGATCAGAAGTGGGCAACGCTCTCTGCCAGGTGAGGAATGACACTGAGTTGTGTCAGGTGGAAGTTACCATCCCAGTGTTGGGCACCGCTGCCCTGCCCTACCGCTGCGCTCCGATGTTAGATCCTGCATTCTCCAAGCACTAACACACACACACCTGCAGACATGCAGCATGTGAAAGAGAGAAGCAGGGGGAGAGGTTTTGTAGAATTAAATCCAAGCAAAAAAGACCTCCCGCCCTGTGCTTTCCTTTTTGTTGCTAATGCTACGGGAGGAGAAAGTGAAGCCGAGCAGACTGGGAAGGGACACAGAATGCCAAAGGCTCCGTTGTGATTTTTGCTCTAAAGGCAGAAAAGCGTTGTTAATGCCGAGCTTTGAGAAAGCCCAGCTTTAGCAAGCACTCTGGAAATCACTGTAAAAAACAGGCTTGGAGTTCTCTGCCTCAGCAATTTTTCAACACCACCGTTTGGGTTTGGAAGGGAGCAGTTTACCTTATACTGCTTCATTATTAGTTTTAGTGGGGAGCACGGCATTGCAGCAGGGCTGTATTAAACCCTAGATATGTACCTCCTAGATATGTATGTTCCTGCCTCAGAAAGCTCTCTGCTGAAAGTTCATTTGCCTCTGACGGTTCGAGGGCAGGTCTGCTTAATATAGAAATCTCTCTTAATATAGTTTATGCAAATCCTACAGTATTTAACTGGAGAGGAAATTCTTCTTGCTAATAAGTGGAGCAGGCCATGCCGAGTTCAGCGGGGCTTGTGTCTTCTTTAATCTAGGGAGTGGGTGGCTTTTAAACAACACAGTCCAGAGTGAAAAATGAGGGGAGCTCTGCGGCGCTGCGCTCGGAGCTTTTGTCCCTCCTAGGCAGGAAGCTGCAGGAGTCGGCGTGTCGTGAGGCTTAGCTCTCCTACAAAAACACGGAGTGGTCACGAACTTTCCCCAGCTCCTTGCACGGGGGCTCCCTCACGGCCAAAGAAAATCCCACTACCCAAAACCCATTAAACAAACAAGGAAAATAGGTGCTCACTTCCTCCGTCCAGCACAGTCATCGGCAGCTGCAGGACAAAATCTAGAGCTACTCAAGTCCCTTTATCTTCAGAGTCCTGGCTCTTGACTGTTTCCAGGCTCGGGCTGTGAACTGCCTTCACTTTTTACTCTCTGCACTACTAAAATATATCTATTTATGATATAAATATATACACATAGTGGCTACTATGTATCTAAAAATAAATATACATACATAGTGGCTATTATGTGTGTGTATGTATATAAAAATAAATACATATGCATAGTAGCAACTGCATTTAAATAATAGGAGATGATAGTATTTTTCCTGAGGAGCCATTTGAAGCAGAGCTGAGGAGCTCATGCAAGAGCTGGTATTTTTGTTGTAAAATTCAGAAGAGTTCACATTTCTAAATTATTGCCTGCTTTAAAAATAAATGTAGTGTCTTTGTAAGCATATATGTGCAATGATACGCAAGAATATACACACAAAGCTTATGTAGCCCTTTTCTTTTAAGGGCTATCTGAATCCAGCCCCAATGTTCGGCCGTGCATCTTCCCTTGCCGAGAATGTTAAATGGGAGGTGAGTAGAATTACACCAATTATCTGAATTAATCTGTCCAGTTGCACATTTAGTGGGATTGCGGAGGGGGATTAAAACTTTGCCCATCACCTAATTTGCTGACTTAGGTCTGAAGAAATGCAAGGAGGGGTTGTGAGATGGGAAAGTCGTTTGGAAGCACAAATAAGGCTGGTTCAGAGGGGAAAAGAAATAAGGGTATTTTCTAGTTAAAGTTGTGCTGGGGAAGGGTAGCTCTGACTGACACCTCCGTCCTTGCGCTGGTATGTAAACTACATTTGAACTTTTGCTCCTGTAAAACGTGAAGGGAATCGGGCCCCGGGCGATGGGGAGCGGCCCGGCCGGGGCGGTTTCGCTTTCGCCCTGCGCTGGGCCGGGTTTGCGCTGATGAGGAGCCATGGAAGTGACTACGGGGGGAAGATCCCTGGCCCACGTCCCCACGCGTGATCAGCGCGGGGGTCTGACCGCCCGGGGGGGACCGAGGTCAGTTTTGCTCTGAGGGGAAACACATTTAGCCTACTAATCCCTCCTTGCCGCAGTGGATCTGCCGGCTCTCACTGCACCGGTCCTCACATCCCCTCCGAGCATGCTGAGGCTCAGCGGTCGCTGTGAATGTATTGGCACCACGGGAGCCTGGAACAAGCTCTATCTCTTCGCTTAAAAAACTCCAGAAACGGGAGAGCAAGCTGCCACCTGTCCCTCTGTCCCCAGACACAAGCACCCCGCATCAAACCCCAGCACTTACCCGAACAGGACCTGGCCTTGCTCCGTGGCTTGGGAGTGAAGCTGGATGCAGGGCCCCCCAGGAAGCTGCCAGGGTGGAAGAGGCTGCTGCTGTAGTCGTGTGCGGCTGGCACATAGGAGGGGTATGTAGGGATGGGGTGGTGGGTTGAGGGTTGGGCCCCCATGCTGGCAAGGCTGCTCCTCAGCGGACTGGCACTCTCCATCTTCATCCCCTCCGACAGCGAGACTTGGTACTTGATGCTGTCTTTGTCCTCCTGCCTGGCCCCGGCAGAGGAGGATGGGGAAGCAGCGCTGGTGGAGTTGGGGTCCGGGGACACTTCCTTGGGAGGGGTCGGGGGGAAGCCGAAGAGGTGGGAGCCGGAGTGCGAGGCTGGGGTGAGCGAAGAGGCAGAGGCGGTGCTGGACGTGCTGCTGCCCGGGTACACCGAGATGGCCCCGGGTGCTCCCGCCGCCGAGGGGTGCAGGGGGGTCTTAGTGAAGGGGTTGACGGTCCAGGGGTTGTGGTGATGGGCGGACAGTGCCGCCTTGCTGCTGTCCAGCCAAGGAATCCCGGGGCTGTGGAGAAGGTGAGGCCGGCACATCTGACTCCCGGTCAGGCGGGCTGTAGGGACACAAGAGCGATTGGTATCAGCGCGGGGCCGCTCGGCACGGGAAGGCCCCAGTCCCTCGGCAGCAACTCGGCCTGGGGGGACTGGAGAGGGCCCGGAGAACCGCAGCCGGGCTGGCACAAAGGCCCCTTTGCCCAATTCCTTCCGAGGGGGACACCGTCTAGCCCAGCGAGGGGGTGCGGTGGGCACAGGAGGGCATCAGGCACCAGGGGCAGGGGTTAAATCTCCCCTTTCCTCCCACTCCACCCCGCCCGGGGATAAGCAGCAAACCCCTTTCTGCTCCATCTTCCGAGCTGCTGCAACGCGCTCTCTTCGGCTCCTAAAACCACCCCCAAATAAAACCCATCGCCGATTTGAACCGGTTTGTATTTTGCATCCGGGAAGTAGCCGCGTCTGAGAAGTTTTAGCCTGTGCGCACACTATTTCCCCTTCCTTTCTAACCTCCCCCCTTTCTTTCCCTCCCCTCTGCCAGTCCTCGGTTATCTCTAGGGTTAAAATCCAGACGTGCCTCCCTTTCTATCCTGTTTTCTCAGGTCTCCTTCCCCCCCCTCTCGGAAACACCGGAGGGTCCCCCCCAGTCGTCATTGCTCGCCTTCAGCCCGGGCCGCGGGTGCCGGTTTACCGTGTGCCTGGCTGTAGGAGACCCTGGCCCTGGCATGGGCGGAATTGGCGTAGTAGGGATTGCCTTGGGAGTCCAGGTGGTTGAAGAAGACATCGACTTCATCCGGAGGTAGGAGCTGCGCTGGTTCCATGTAATTGTGAGCCAGTCCTGGGTGGTGGCTCTCGGGATGCTGCCCGTTGAGCACGGCGTGGTGGGCCATCCAGCGAGGCTGGTCTGTGGCCACCTCCATGGCCTCGGGCCTCCCCTCCCACCCAGCCCCAGAGCAGGAGCGGGCCGGTGCTGCTCGGGGAGGGGGGGCGGGGGGGTTGGGGTTGGCGCTGCTGGTGGGATTTAGGAGATGGAGTGGCTTTTCTTAAGGAGAAGATGGCCGGGCGGCTGGCGTGGGCCCTGGGAAGGGTTGGGGGAGCCCCCCGGAGTCACCGTGTCTCTCTGTCCAGGCGGGCGGCGGCAGGTCCGGGCAGCACCTGTAGGGACAGACGGAGGGGTGAGGGGCTCGGGAGCGCTGTACCGGGCGGTACATGGATGGGGAGGGAGAAGCAGAGCCCCTCCCCCCCTTCCAAAAATGTCCTCTCCCCCAAAGTCTTCTCCTTGCTCCCTCCCTGCTCATTGCCCCACAGAATAAACAGAGATCCCATTTCAAACTCTTTACCAAAAAAAAAAAAAAAAAAAAAAAAAAAGCAAAAAGCTTCCTTTCCCCCCCGCTCTCCCTACAAACGTCAACAGGAGTTTTCCCAGCTGGCTTCAAAAGCGGGGTGAAAAAGGAAGAACGGCAGATCCAATACAGAGTAGTGCCAGCAAGAACTGGGCCTGACACAAAAGGAAAAGGAGGGGGAGAAAGAAGGGGGGAGAAGGCGAAGAGGAGGGAGGAGAAGGGTGTTTAGTGAAAGCAGCGAGTGCGCCCTGGCAGCGGCCCCCCCCGCACCCCGCACTTACCGGCTGGCGGTGGGAGCCGGCGTGGAGACCGCGAATACGGCGGAGAGGGGAGGAAGGAGGGGGGAAAATGGGGAGGGAATTAAAAACAAGAGAAGTCCCGAGCGCGGGGGGATCGGAGCTGCAGGGTGTTACTCAGATGGCAAAGCCGCTGCTCTGGCCGGCGCGGTCCCATCCCCGCGCATCCTATATGAGCGCTGGCGCCAGCTGGCCGCGGCGCCGCAGACGGTCCGGGGCGCGCAGGGCCGGCGGGGCGGCCGGGACAGCCAATCCCGGCAGCCGATCCCGCAGATCCCGCCGCCCCACACCGCCCCCAGCCGCACCCCCGGCCCGAACGGAGCCGGCCTGGGGAGGGGGGGAGCAGCGCGGACCCCCCTCCTCCGCCTCCTGCCCCCCCGCAGCATCCTCCGGCAGCGCCGAGGGGGCTTTCCCTGCCTGGGCGCTGCACGCCCCTGCGGGGCGGGGACGGAGAAATGGGGGGGGTCCCGCCGGGGTGTGCGGGGATGCGGAGGGGCATGGGCCCACGCTTTGGTGCGGGGGGACCGGAGCGGGCAATGGGGCCAGCTCCGCCGGGTGCTGCCCCCGACCGTGGCTTCCAGCGCCGCCGCCGGGATGCCCGGGGCGAGGGGGCTGGAAGTCAGCACCGGGGAGATGAGTACGTTAAAATTCCCTTAAAGCAGGCACAGCAGCGCGCAGCCGGGAGCGGGGCTAACCCCAGCGTGGCTGTTCCCATCGTGTTGGTTTGAAATAACTGTCTGAACGGGGAAATAAATAAATTTCAACCAAATAATTGCGCTGCTCCTCAGAGCCCGGCAGGCTGAGAAGAGGGAGCGGGGCCCCGCCGGGCAGGCGGCGGATAAGGGACGGGTCCTGCCCGGCTCCCGGGGAGGCAGTGCTGGGGTCGGGCCTGGCTGGGGCTCGCTGGAGGCTGCGGCAGCGGGGAGCCGAGCCGACGGGGGCCGGGGACCTGCTGCGGCCTCCCCTACGGGGCTGCGGCGCCAACACCCCGCGTGTTCTGCTTCTCCCCTTAAAATAAAATTGAAAAACCCCACAACCAAACCACCAACAACAGAACCCTCCAAAGATTCAGTTTTAACATTCGCAGTTACTCGTGAGCCAGGGCAGAGGCGCAGCCCTGTTCAACAGGCGTTTTCCGCGGAGTTCGCGGCGCAGCTCGGGTTCTGCCACCCTCGAAAGTGCGGACAAAGCCACCCGCTTTTGGGGCAGAAAATGATATTATTAATACTAATAACAGTGAGAAAGCCAGAGATTGCCCGCGCCCCGGAGCGCTGCCGGGCGCTGTGGGGGTCCCGTTCCCCTGCACTGCCCTCCCGCGCCTCCGTCGTCGCTTTCGCGGGAAATAGGAACAGCTCGTCCCGATCCCGTAAAGCTCCGACCTGGACCTGGGGCGAAGGAACTGCCCCTCACCCGGGAGAGGGCAGGGGGGAGCCGAACACGGCCCGCCGTCCCCTCGGCAGCGGCTCCAGCCCGACGGCGCGGCCGGGGAGGGGGCTCGGGAGCCGGTCGGGGCCGGGCCGGGGCCCAGCGGGGGGGGCCGGAGGACGAGGAAGATGGTGCCGGTGCTGCCCCGGCCGCCCCAGTCACCACGACGCCGGGGCTCTGACGTCACCCGTCACTGCCAAATTCGCCAGGAAATGAACTTTTTTTTTTCTTTTTAATAATAACAATAATAATAATGATGATGACGGTAATAATAAAACTTCTTTTCCTCGCTGCCGATCCCGTCTCACCGGAGCGATTCGGGCTCCCTCCATAGCTATTCCCTCACCACCATCACCCCTTGTTCCCTCCAAGCATCCCCCAGGGGCACCCCCAGCGCAGACCCGGAGAGGAGAACAGGCAACGCGGCCCGGGATGGCTTCTACGGAGGCTGGGGCTGGGGGAGCCAGCTTTGCTCCCCCTCTCCCCGCATCCTTTCCTGTTGCACCCGAAGCCAGGACTCCCCAGGGCCCTGCTTTCGGGGCTTGGCCGTGCCCCTAGCCCCCCTCCGCTGGGGGGATGCCAAGCAGCTGATCCGGGCGGCAGCTCCTCGCTTGGCTGCCGGCCGCAGCAGGGACGGCGGAGCCGGCTTCTCTCCGGCCGGGCTGGGTGGTCGGGGCAGGCCGGGGCCAGCGCTGGGGCTGGGCGGGGAAGCGGGGCCGGGCCTTGGGGTGCCCGGGCGCCCAGGGCCGGAGGTGCCAAGGAGGAAAGGGAAACAAAGCAATAAAAAAAAGAAAGAAAAAGGAAAGTCAAAAGCGAGAGAACCTGGGAGCTTTCGAAAAACCCGGCTTCGACCTCCGAAGCGATTTTCTTTCTGCACGCATCAAAACCCCCACAAATCCACTCAAATATCCCCCCCAAAGGAATTTATTCTTTTTTATTTTCCGAAGAAAGGGTGAGTATAAACTGAACGCGGCCGGTTGCAGGTCGGTCCCCTCGGCGTCTCGTTATCCCCGCAGCCCGGGGGCTGCCGGAGCCGGGGCGCTCCGTGCCCGCGATCCCTCCCGGAGCAGCCGGGATCATCCCGGGCCCGGCCGGAGCGGGCCCAGCGCCTAGCTGCGCCTTTATTAATCAATATGGCTGTTTAATTACTGCCCGCTGCCACCAGCATGGGGCCGCGCTAGGTTTTTTCTTGGGGGGGGGCGAGCGGGGTGGGCTGTTTGTTTTAGGCAGGTGATAAAATCGCAGTTAACGAGCTGATAATTCGTTCGTGTTTGTTTTAAAAGACAAATTGTAAAGATTAATCAGGCGGTTTGATTTATGGCGAGGCAGACCCCGGCGCTGCCCGGCCGGGGCTCCCTGAAGCCCCTGTCTCGGGTTACCGGGGGCCGAAGCGAAACAAAAGGGGCGAACCAGAGACGGAGGCGGCAGCTCCTGGGGTCGGGTCCCGCCATTCCCGAGCCGGGGTCCGGCGCCTTTCCTCGCACCCTCCCCCCGCCTCTAAATCCCTCTGTAACTGAAGGACCCCTTTATCAGGGATGGACCATTTCAGCTGAGGAAGCGGCTGAATTCCCGCGGGAGGTTTTCCTCCAGCCGCCTCCCAGGGTTTCACTTGAGTTTATTTCGCTGTTTCTTTCGCCGCCGCTTCCCGGCCTCGCTGCCAGCGTTTGCCGACCCGGCCGCCGCTGCGGACTCGGCCGCTAATGCCCCGGCGGCAGGGCTGGCGGTTAATTGAATTAATTCCCCGTCGGGAGAAGCAGCAGCAGCAGCTCTGCACCCGCGTCCCGGTGAGCAGCTCCCCCACAACCCTCTGGGGAGGCAGCGGGTCCGGGCATTAACTCCGGTTTATTAACTTCATTTTGTTATTCCCGTTGCATTTCTTTTTTTTTTTTTCGGTTTTAATCAGGAGCTTTCCCAGCTCTGGAAGCACAACTGGTTATTTTGATTTGATTGACAAGTGATGTCATATCGTTAAGGGAGAGGGGGGAGACGACAACGTGTTTTAGCAACAGTTAGGAGCCCTGTGTGATGGAGTTGACACCTACGCCGGGGCAGAGGCGAAGGCAGAACCCCTCTTTCCCTATCCACGCACACGGAATTGGGTTTATTCCTTTTGATTTCCTTTTTTTTTCCCTATTCTGGGTGCTCGGACCCTCGCAGCCGGGAGTGGCTGGGCTGGAACCTCACCCCCAGCGACACTTCCCTCCAGACACCCCCTTCTCTGGTGTGTCCTTGGGTACAATGTTTTGGGGAGGGGAAGTTCTGGCTTTCTGCCTGGTTGTTTTATTTCGGTGTTTTCCTCCCTCTGGTCTTGTCTCCGCTTCGCTTTGCTTCTCCCCCGGCCCCCCCTCCCCGCTAATGGCTGCTAATGGGGCTATAAAGTGACACAGTTACCTCCTAACCGCGAGACCCTGTTTGAGCTGCGTTAAAGGAAAAAAAAAAGGAAAAGAAAAGGAAGGGAAAATTAAAGAAAAGGGAAATTAAAAGGAAAGGAAAAGAAAGGGAAGGAAAATAAGGAACAAGGGAAATAAAAAAGAAAAGAGAGACGGCTCTGGAAATAAATCATGGAATACTTAAATTATTATTTTTTAACCCCGGAGGAGCCTCTCGTTTCCCCCATCCCGCAGCCAGTTGCTGCTGTCCTATCCGCCCCATCTCTCCTTCACCTGCTCTTTGTCCGAAGTTCGTCCCCCTCTTCCCCCGACAGCAAATAAAGGGGAAGAAAATGCTCGAGTGACCCCCGCCTGCCCAAAACGACGGCTTTTGTGCGACTTCCCAAAGCCAAACGCGTGCGGGAGGCGTGAGGAGCTGCACAGCCAGAGAAACCTATCACCATTTATTTTCAGGCGCTACCAGGGAAGATTTCGTTCGCCGGAGCTCGGTTTAATTTTATGTGTATTTTTTCTTCCCTTGCAAGGTTATTTCGGGCTCAGCTGGTGCAGGAAAGGGGCCGTTCCTGCAGGTTTCATTTGCTTCCTCGCAAGCAAAACTCCGCTGGGGAGGGACGGAGCCCGAAACGGGCAGCGGTGCTCGTCTCGCCCGCGGTACCGGTCTCGGCTGCGTTCCCCCTATAAGCAGCGGGGCACGGACCAGGGCGGCATGGGACTTCCGAGGGTAAAAACTGTAGTAACTAATTGCTTTTAATAACGATGCTCCAGGGGAGAAGAACCCCCGCGACAGAAACGCGCATCCCGCTTAGAGAAACAGCTTTTCTTATTGAAATCGCCTCAAATCCAGGCAGCTCTGCTCCTGGGTGCTTCTATTTATTTTTTTCTTCCCCCCCCCGCCCCTCCTTGCCTTCCAGCCCCAGCATCCCAAAGCAAAAAGAGGATAAAGAGGGGAACTTTGCACATACAACAGCAAAAATCATGCAAAGCTCCGTAAAGCTGCCGCACGGGACTGGGACTGGCGGGCTGCGGCGGGCAGGTGCAGGGCCGGCACAGCGAACCCGCATCTCCCTCCGGTTTTCTTTCTTTTGCTTTTTAATGCCCAAATCTGCCAACAATGGGGCGAGGGGACGGGCCGCGGCTGCGGGAGGGGGCGCGGGCTCTGCACGCCCGTGCTCCGGGAAGTGCCTGCCCGGCCGCCCCGGGTGAAATGCAACTTTCCAAGATGGAGATTTAAATAATTACCCGGTGACAATGGGGAAGGGAATAAAACCCAACCAGCCTCAGACGCGGCCCCGCTCCCCGCAGGGTGCCCGTGCAGGAGCGATCCGGTGCGCCCGGTAGAGCCCCCGCGGAGTCTCCGAGCGCTGCACCGGGCTCAGCCGGGCCCGGCCGAGGCTGCCGGGTGGGACCGTACGTGCTGGGGACATTTATTCGTTCTTCACACAACCGTGCCCTGTTTGTCCCCGGGGAAAACTGCCCCGAGCGATGTGTTCCAGAGGCGAGACCCGCATCCCGGTGCGCGGTGGCGGCGCCGGTACGGCAGCCCTGGGGCCGCGCAGCCGCATCCCCTTACCTCGCCTTTCGCTGTTCCTCAGGTTTCTTTCAGTTTTCCGGCCGGTGCCTGGAAAGCGCCGGATCCGCTCTCCCGCGGGGCCGCTCCGCAGAGCCTCCCGCCCGCCTGCGCCGGTTCTCGGCGGCGGACGGTGCGCGCAGGCTGCGCGGGGCTGCCCGAGGTGCGCGCTGCGGAGAGCGGCTGCAGTTTTCGAGCTGAGCCCTTGTTTCTTTTTTCCTTCCCCCCCTTCCCTTCCTCCCTCCCTCCTTCCCTCCCTCCCTCTCTTTCCCTCTCTCCCTTCTTTCCCTCCCCTTCCCTCTCTCTCTCCTGCATTCAAGGATGGCACAGCGAGCCACTGTGTATTTATGTACATAATAAGGCAGCTCGTCCCCTCCACTTCATTTGCATCATTACAATATCTGTACAAGCACATCACATTGTCTGTTGCTTGCACCTTTTGTTACGGTTGCTGTCACAGTCTACGCGACTTGACTTTCATATTTTAAATGAATTGATATTATACCAACAACACACACTCGCATTCCAGGCACTGGGAATCCGGCTCCGGCTGGCTCCCGAGCCGCTCGCTTCTTCCACCGCCTCCAAGGAAGGTGGGGTTGGGGGGACCCGCTTTGCAGGATCAATTATTCGTATAAATTATTCCTATTCGTATTAATTTTGTTTCCACTCCCGTGCGAGGGGAATGTCTGGGGGTTTCTCGGTTTATACTTTTCCTTTTCGTATTGGCCAGCCTGGTTTTCGTATAACCTCGTGTTTCTTCTCCCCCCTCTCCCTTCCCAAACTCAGTCTTTCGGGCTATGCACCTGCAAGTAGGAGAAGCAGCGGAGAAGCTGAAAGAGGCGCAAGCAGCTATTTCGCCAGGAATCGTTGTTGTAGCTAGGAAGGTAACGGTAAAACACACATAGGAGAACCAGCCAAAACGAATGGGTTTGGAAACGTTTGCGCTCCCCAGCCCCGGCTCTGCAGTCCTCACCTGACGGGTATTTTGCTCCCGGTGCGTGTGTGTGTGCGGGTCTGGGTTGGGGGGTCCCCTCCCAAGCGCCCGGTGTCGGGGTGGGGTGGCGGGCCCCGGGGTCGGCAGAGGGGCTCAACATGAATCTCCGGGGGAGAGCGGACGGGACCCCCTGCCCGGGGCTGCGGGGAAACCGTGTTAATGGGGAGACAAAGGCCGGACCGTCCGGCGGGAGTCCTGCGGGAGCGGGGAATCGAAATACGGTTCGGGAAGGGAAGGAGAAAAGTTTCGCGGGAGGCGGAATTATCATCATAATGGAGGTAAAAATGTGAGCAGGGGAAAGGCGGGGTGGGGTGGGGGGGGATCCCATTCTGCTGGCATTTTCTGTCTGTCTTTGTGATATGGTTGGGGGAAAAAGGGTCCTTGATATGCGGCAGATAATTCTTATCAGCCCCACGCAGCCCATTTCCAAAGTAAGTGTTTTAATTACTTCTCCTGTATTACCCTTCATCCTCTGAGAGGAGATGCATCACCAGATTTATGCGGGGAGGGGGGGAATACAAAAGAAAGCGGTATTAAAATAAATACACATATACATATATATATCCCCCTGTCTTTCCCTTGTGCCCAGGAAGAGGGAGACGCTGCTGCCAGCCGCGCCCTGGGATCGCCCCTGCACGGAACGACTCTAAACCGAGGGATCGTCGCTCGGGCGGGAAAACCACGGCAAAAGCGGGGTTTGAATCCTGCAGATTGCTCCCCGCGCGGGGACAAACGAGGGCGGCCGCTCCGGGGCTCGGGGAGGGGCTGAGACCGGCGGAGCGCGGGACCCCGCTGTCCCGGGTTGCCCCGGGCCAGGGCCATCCACCGAGTGCCACCAACGGCATTGGGGGCCGGAGGGGCGCGGGTGCGATTTGCTCTTCTTTCCCGCTGGAAGAGAAGGATGTTTTCCTCTGCTCTTTAGGTTTCCTACTTAAGATGTCATCTGAAAGTCTGGGAAGGAGCGGGGACCGTGCTCTGCTTCTTCCACGGTAACAACCATATTCTGCATATCGAACAATACAACAGACAGTGGGAAAGGCTGAAACCCCCCGAAAAAAATAAGGAGAAAAAAAAATTAAAAAAGAAAAAATCCCCAACCTTTTCAATATTGATTTAAAAAAAAAAGAGAGAAAATTTAAAAAGAGAAGAAGCAGCACCAGCAGCAAGGAGAATATAGGCTCAGCAGCTCTCCAGGTTCGCTTCCTTATTATTACTATCCAGGGGTAATTTTTCATCTCTGCTAGCTAATCTTTGTTCCTTGTGAAGATAATGAATAGCCCAATCCTTATCTCCTGGGCTCCTGGAGGCTGCTGGAGAATGGGGTTGAACAGGGTTGAAAATTGGTTCCAAAGTGCTGCTGAATAAATGGTGTTCCTTATCTCTCGCTTCCAGATTATCGGAACCCTTTCAAAACTCACACAACAAATACAGCCACCGCATCTAATGCATCATTTACCAGAGCAGATCTCCGCGTTTGATCGGCAGATAGGCAAAATCTATGTATTCCTTGCTTTGGTTAGTATGCATGGACGCGGGGCTGCTCTGCAGGCGGTGCCCCCGGCCGGACCCGGGACACCCCAGAGGCTCTCGGCACAAACGGATTTTGCTGTGGACGTGGAGGAGTGAGGAGAGGGTCCCCTGGCTGTCCCCGAGCCAGGGCAGGGTGGTACAGCACCGCGGCTTGCAAGATGCTGCCGTGCAATGGGGATTCGGGGTTGCTCCGCTGGGGAGCTGGTGGATTTACAGGGAGAAGGGAAGAGGGAGAGCATCGTCTTGGGCATCCGCTTGTGCTTATGTTCACTCTGCACTCACAGTCGCATTCACCCGCACCCGGGAGCTGCTCCAGGGGCGCCGAGTTCCCTAAAGCCGTTCTTAGGCTCAGCGGTACCCTGGTCCAGCCCGAGCCCTCGGCACCCTCAAGGTCCAGCTGGTTAAACCTCCCAGGCTGTTCCACCCAGAATCCTGTCAGCGCAGCCAGTCCCTGGGTCCCCCGGGGCTGGGGCAGCTTCCAGCAGCCTCGTGGGTGCTGGGTGAACCCCACATCCCAGCTGCAGGCAGAACAGGGCATCTGTGTTCCTCTTTCTTTTATTTCCTTTCCTTCTCTCCTTCTCTCCTTCTTTCCCTCTTTCTTTCTCTCCTTCTTCCCCTCTTTCCCTGTTCTCTCTTTTTCTTTTCTCTTCCCTCCCAGTTTTCTGGTTCCTTGGTATCTTTCCTGATGTTATTGTTATTATTTTCCCAGAAAAACCCTCTATGTATCAGTGAACTCTCCCAGCCCGGCCATGCACACCTGGTCCAGAGCAACAGATCCCTGGCCCAGCACAAGGAGTGAACGTCCCCTCCACTCTCACCCACCCTGCTCTCCCCAGCAGCACCTCAGCTTGTGCCGAGGTACCAAACAAGGCAGCATTTTGCTATGTGCCACCACAGGCCACTCCTGTGTCCCCAGCCCAGGGGGTGGTGAGATCCCGGGTTGGGGACAGGACCCCCAACCGTGTCCCAGCCCCTCTGCCTGCCCAGCAACACTCGGCCCTTCCCGGCCTGCAAAGGGAGGGGAACTCGGGTGGAAGTTGGTGGTGAGAAGGGCCCAGCCCTGCCCGTGCTCCGGAGCTTTGTGAATGTTCAACTTGTGCTAATTTTTTATGGCTGTATTCGCAGTTGTTCCCTGTAAAAAACAGACCTGTGTTAGTTTATTAATAACCTAAACATTACGTATTAAAGACCTATGAGTGACACAAGATGACAAAAAGCTGTATTTTTCCAATATACACAAGCACACATTTAATAACCTTCTATTGCATCTCAGCTAGGCCTTCTCTCTGATGGTTCCCATGGTAACCCAGATAAAAAAGCAGCCATTTTCCATATCTCTATGAAAGTCTATTATATTGCAGGATTAGTTCATCTTCTGCTAAGGTCAAACACAAAGTCATACAACCTGAAATATTTAGAATCCATGTACATTCATTTTTTTATATGCCCTTTCATTTTCCACAAAAGCCCGGGCTCCTCCGAGGTTTTATTCCCCAGAAAATGCTCAGCAAAGCAATAAAAAAAAATCATGATTAGCAGCTGATGAAAAGTTCAATTGTTTTTTTTTTTTCCTCCATTTTTTTTCCCCTCCCTTAACCCCCCCTCACCCCCCGCCCATCGCCGGCCTGATCGCGCCGTCCCCATTTATCTCTATCAGCAGCCGTGATTGCGGCCGATACCCGCCTCCTAATTGGGCTGGGAGCAATTTGCAGGCGGACGGCGGCACCTTCTGGTAACGGCGGGTGCGGCAGCGCCGGGGCCCGGCGGACCCGGGACGAGACCCGGGACAGTACCGGGGGTGCCAGAGCCCCCCCTTCCGCAGCACCTCCCGCCCGCTCCCCGCGGTGCGCAGCGATGGGGCGGCCCCGCTCAGCTTCCCAAGGACGGACCCGAGCTCCACTGGTTCGCACTCACTGTCCGACCCCATCTCGGTCCAGCCACAGTCAAGCACCGGTGTTCATTCATTTACCTAATCCCTGGCAGTGCTCAAGGCCAGGTTGGACACAGGGGCTTGCAGCACCCTGCTCTAGTGGAAGGTGTCCCTGCCCGTGGCAGGCGCTGGAGCTGGAGGAGCTTTAAAGCTCCCTTCCAACCCAAACTGTTCCATGGTTAGTGTGTCTCAACAGAGGTGCTCAAAACCTTCCAGGGCTCTAGATGCAGCTATTGCACCCTTGCAAAACAACAAGTGTTGGACCCACCCAGGCCAGGATGTGTAGTGTGGTGTGGAGAGCAGAAGTCAAGTCACTTTTCTCCCTTTATGAAGGAGTTGGTGTAATTCAGCTGGGGCTTGCTGACACCTGGAAACCCAATAAAACAAACCCTGCAGGCAGGCTGAACGGTGACAAACGTTATCTGCCGGGACAAGAAGAGCTACAGCTTACTCTTTTCCCAAGGTTACTCCTGAAAACCTTGAATATGGAGGAGAGGATGTGTACGTGTGGCCACCCACACCCGTGGGTATGTCCATGGGTACCTGCCACGATGTGATGTTTATCCCAGCCCCTATTAATGTGAGGCTCTGGGAACGTTCACAAACATGGAGAAGCTCATGGGGGGCAGGACTGAAGATTAATGTTTTCCTTCTTTTCCCGAGCCTCCATCCCCTGGGAGCTCGCAGGGGTATCCCAGTGGCTCTGGCCACGCTGCTGGAGCAGCCTGGGGTGGGTGGAAGGTGTTTTTAGGAGCTGTTTGCAGGTTGGTGATGCAGTGGCCAGAGCCATGCCCACCTCCAGAGCAGGCAACAGACCCGGGGGGTGGCTGGGTGGGGGGTGGTTATCAGGGTGGATTCCCCACCCAGGAACTGGCTCACCTGGAGAACATGAGCATCCATAAAAGCCCACACCTGCACCTTCCCTTCAGGCTCTGTTTCCTTCTGCTCAAGGAAGGGGGGATGATTGCATTTGGGGGCTAATGCAAAGCTTTCTGATTTGAAGCCAGTGATCCTGGGATATGGAGGTCTCCTCTCTCTTCTGTTTTTAATTCTTTTTTCTAGTCTCAGGATTTGTGCTGCAGAGAAGGTGGTCGGAAGCTTGAAGGAGGAGTTCAGAGCATCACCAAATGCAAGTGGATTTCTTTTTCAAGTCTTGTGGTTTCTCTTCTTCTCTACTTCATCTTTCCATCCCAGGCAGCAGCTGATGCGGTGTTTGCAGGTCTGAGGTCTGCAGCCCTGAGAAAGAGAGCCTCTAGAAATCTGTGAGTAACTGTGTTCTCCAGCTAAACCAGGGGTGTCTGGTGCCAGCACCCTCTTGGGTAGCGGTGCTGCTCTTCTCTCATAGCTCTTTCTTGTGAAACGTGCTGGGGGTTGGCAGAGGCTGAGCTGCCCTGGTGCTGGCAGCATGGGGGCTATAGAGTGCCCTGTGAGGGTCCCTATCCTGCAGCGAGTGGGGTGTTTGTGTGCTGGTGTCCACTGGGGTGCTGCTGGGGACCCCGCAGAGCTTTGCTATCGCTGAGCACTGCTCAAACCAAGCAGTGAATATAGGGGGGGACCCAATTCCCCTTTGGGTTGCCAGTGTTGATTCCCAGTGGATGGCTGCTGCTGGGGGATGCCTGGAGCTGTGGGGTTGCCTGCAGGGGCAGGGTGGCTGCTCCAGGATGAAGGGGCTCCTGCATCCAACCCCAGGGACTGGGGGGTGCTGTGCTCTCCTTCCCCTGCCCGGCTGCCCCCTGCTTTGGGCTTCTGGGTAGGGGAGAACTGCCCTGGCCTGGCCCCTGGTTGTTTTTCTGTCTCTGTGACATCTGGTGCGTGGCTGCGAGTTCCCAGAAGAGGCCCTGATGGAGGATGTTGGGGTGGGGAGAGCAGAGCTGACCTTCTTAGCAGAAGGCAAAGGACATGGAAATGTTTCAGGCTGTTCCTAGCAGACATCCCTGGGAAGGGAAGCGCCTTGCTCTGCTCCACCAGGGCAGCTCTTCTCTGCTATTTGTTCACTTGATACCATGCTGGAGATGCTTAATTTATCCTTGTCCCCATTGCTGCACCTGAAAAGGTCTTGTGGAGTTTGAGGATTTAAGTTCCATTGATCCCTCATGACTTTGTGTGTTCCTGGTCTTACAGTGACACCAACAGCCCTGACACGCTCAGGTTAAAGATGCTCATCTTGAAGTGGGAGGAGTGTGGGGCTAAGTCTTGCTCCGAGTCCAGAGCAGTCCCATTGAACCCAGCCCGGTGTGAGCAGCATTCCCAGCAGCACCCTTTAAAGAGGGAATTTCTTGCAACCTTGTGATCCCTGCTCTGGGTAGGTCCCATGGAGGAAGGAACCTTCACCATTGCATGGCTGCCCCTCTTGATGGGGGGGGGGAGTGGAGTCATTGGGATTAAGCAGGAACCAGCTTTGCTTACAGTTTGGGATGGAGGTTTTCAACCCTCTTGGTTTTTTTTGGCTGAGATCAAAAGTGGCATCAGTTTAACATCTGTATCCTTTACGCCCAAGAGCAGGGCTGGAGCCCAGCTCACCACCTCGCTCTGCAGCAGCAGAGCCGCATCCTGCTCCACTGGTCCTTGAAGCGCGTTGCTCCATCCCCACACACCCGGCTGTCAGGTCAGTGGAAGGATGGGATGTCCGTACCTGGGAGGTCTCCAGGAAGGTCCCCAACCCACTGGAGACTAAGTCAATGCTGGGGGCAGAATGGGTTGTGTTTGACTGCCAAGGGCTCCTAAGGCCCTCTGGAGCACCTGGTGCAGCCGCTGTTGGGGACAGGATATTGCAGTGGGGGATATTGGAGCTGCTCCCTCAGCTCCTGTGCCGTGGCTGTGTGCAATGCACCCCGCTGTGGGACACACTGCAGAGTGTGGATGTGGTATTTATTTAGGTGTTGGATGTGAAACGAACCTCCGCTCTTTCTCTGCGGGCC